CGTGCGTGTGCTCGTGTGGTCGTGGTCGGCGCGCGGTCGTCCGTGCGTTGTGCGGTTCGTGCTGTGTGTGCGTCTGTGCGTCGTGCGCGTGTGCGTTTGTTGCGTGGTGCGTCGTGGCGTGTGCAGTCGTTGTTGCCGCGCGTGTGCGGCTGCCGTGCGTGGCATTGTGTTGTGATGTGGTGTGTTTGTGGCGCTGTGTGTAGTGTGTGTGTGTGTGTGTTGTTGTGTGTGTGTGTGTGTGTGTGTGTGTGTGTGTGTGTGTGTATGTGTGTGTGTATGTGTTTGTGTGTGTGTGTGAAGAATATGTGAACTGTGCTCAACAGGGATGCGTAATACACCAAACCGATTCAGATTGCAAGCTCGCGGAAGTCAAGCAAACGCCTCTAGAATCCATGTATGCGGAGTTGATAGGTGGAAAATACGCCAGCAGTGTGTTCAACTATCGGTACCAGGTTATCGGATGTTACCGGTGTGTAATGTGTATCGGTATCTGCATGTATCGGCCATCACAATCAAGTAATTATCTATCAGTAAGTAATACAGATACAGTAAACCTACACTGAAGACAGTATCTGTGATACAGAATTTCACGCGCACTTTTCCACAATTCTCCGTGTGCTGTGGTGTCATTCTGTACAATCTACCAGCGCGCACAAAATGCAAACATCATCAATGATCGATAGTAGAACGTTATGTAAGAGTTACAACTCTACTCTGCTCGCAACTTTATTTCGATAGAGAAGGTGAGAATTTTCCTCGACGTTTCTTAATTAACACGCGGACCTATCGCCTCATGCCACGCGCAAACAATATGGCGGCATCACTTCAACTGCCGGTCGCGTGGGGGCAGCAGCGTCGGCGGCGGATCGGGAGCCATGACAACGCACGTGCTCCGCAGATGCAGATTTTTGTTGACGTTGTTGTACGCGTTGAAATGACTCGACACGCTCCTAGGGGTCGCTCGGTGTGCGGTTATCAGCACGTCGCGGTGCGGGCGCGTGTAGGACGTCGCGTACGACGTCCAGTGCAGCCCTCGCCGCTCGTCGGCAGCCGCTCTCTCCCACTCACTCCGCAGTCGCTCCCGCAGTCCGTACCCCGACGGCGTGCCTGTGCAATACCGATATATCGTGATCGATGGCACCACAGTCGTTTGCGTAGCGCGGGTACACATCAGTTGTAGACGTGGGCGCGTATGTATTTACATGCTGTCATAGTAGTTTTAATAGCTACTTCGGAGAGAATGGTAATGCAATACATTCGGCGCGTGTATAAATAAATACGAGGAAGTAAACACTGCTACGCTGGCACTTACACTCACCTTGCAGCGGGTGGTCGCTTCTCTCCGGCCAGTAGCCGCATTGGTGCTTGTGCCAGTAGCGAAGCTGGGGCAGCTTACTCTCGCCACGCCTGTTATAGAACTCGTCGTACCCGGATATCGGGTTATTCGAGTAGGCGTCGCCGTGGTGCTTAAATATGTGCTCCTTACCGAGACCCTGAATTCAGACGATAGCCAGTGCATTAACTGTGGTAGTGGTAATAATGATAATGATAATGATAATAATAATAATAATAATAATCAAATTGATTGTCTCGCACGCGCTACGCACCACCTGGTTTCTGCTGATGCTAGCGGCACCTAGCGGCAGTTTCGCGCTTCACACTGTGATGTTGCCTAGATGTCGGATCATCTGCGCGATGCGCCTCTTGTTGATGGTCAGCCGACGTGCTTCGTCCCTCGCCGTACGCCTCTCATTCACCTCCTGCATCCTCGACGAGAGCCTCTCCTGCCTTGCCCTTCGCTGCGCCAGCTTCGCGGTCGGGTCGCGCCTCTTGGCGGCAGCGGTGTTCTTCCTAGCCTCGATCCGCTGCGCTCGCGTCTGCCGCTGCCATGGTCGCCTCGTCTGCATCTGGTCGGCGCTCGCGACGTCGGCGGTGGGTGCCGACCGTCCGGCGGCGCGCTTGTTGTCGTCGTCCGTCGTCGTCGTCGTCGTCGTCGTCGTCGTCGTCGTCGTCCGTCGTCGTCGTCGTCGGCGACGTCTTACGTTCGTTTCGTCGTGACGTACGCGCTGCGGCCCTCTCCCTCGCGCCGCCGCCGCCGCCGCCGCCGCGTCGCGCGACTACATTCTGAAGAGAGGGAAGGTGGGTGAGTGGCGACGATGCTGCTGCTGCGCTCTGGTGGCGGCGAGTGATCAGGGTTGTTTCTCGCGCTTGAAGCGTTGAGAATTCGCTCGTTTCTCGCGCTTAAAGCGTTGAGAATTCGCTCGTCTCAAACACGTTACGCGCTCCCGAGCTTGATGACATCTAGTAATATTATTCCTATGATATATTATTATATTATTATGTTAATTTCAATTATATACGTTTTGATTGAAGCGTGCGTTATCGAGTAAATTCAACATTGTGCTTGCTCTTAAAAACAGTTCTATCATAATTCTCCTGGTTGCTTTAACGACAAATTTATCATAGCTCTCCCGGTTGAAAGATATTAGTCGAAATTAATCCGTCTTGAGAAATAATCGCATTCTCACTCACCACTATAAGTAGACAAACCAACACCAGTAACAAGTAACCTGAAAGAGATCAAATTCGCATGCTTAACTATTTACCTTCTGTCAACCGAATATAGGCCCTATCAACATAAATGAACGCCACCCAAGTGCCGTGATTAGCCTAAATGGCATATTGCTAATAAAATTACACGTGCGTGCGAGTGTGAATGTGCGTGTGTGAATGTGCGTGTGTGAATGTGCGAGTGTGTGTGAATGTGCGAGCATGAATGTGCGTGTGTGAATGTGCGTGTGTGAATGTGCGAGTGTGTGTGAATGTGCGAGTGTGAATGTGTGTGTGTGAATGTGTGAGTGTGTGTGAATGTGTGAGTGTGTGTGAATGTGCGTGTGTGAATGTGTAAGTGTAAATGTGTGAGTGTGTGTGAATGTGCGTGTGTGAATGTGTAAGTGTGAATGTGCGTGTGTGAATGTGTAAGTGTGAATGTGCGTGTGTGAATGTGTGAGTGTGAATGTGTGAGTGTGTGTGAATGTGTGAATGTGTAAATGTGCGTGTGTGAATGTGCGTGTGTGAATGTTTGAGTGTGAATGTGCGTGTGTGAATGTGCGAGCGTGCATATATATTTGTGTGCGTATGTGCGTGCGTGAGTGCGTGCGTGTGTACGCAAGCACACCCGTACATCATGGCCGCATACACGCACACACGCGGTGCGCGCGTACACACAACACGCACGCGCGCACGAACGCGCGCATGCAGATACGGATAGATTGACCGCGACAACTCCTTACCTCTCGCAAATCGCATCGTGTAAACGCGTGCTTGCACAAACACCTCACCTCTCTGCACGTCACCACATATACCTATCACTGACGCG